TGAGTTACACACTCTCTGATTGGTTGAACGTAGGTTCCAGATCACATGAATTCTAAAATCGACCAAAATTTGGATATTTATGGGCCAAAATTTGGACTAGAGGTCAAAATTTGGAAAATTTTGGATCCAAATTTTTGACAGTCCCTGATCTGAATACAGTAAAGCTATGTTGATGTTTTTTATATTGCACAAATTTAAACGATATATCAGATATTAAATATGGAAGATTTTCGGTATTACGTACGTACGTATCATAATTATTCATACTGTATCATGCACATATACATGTGTGCAAAGTTTGCAACTTTATATGAAATGTTTCCAAACTTGGAAACCTATATAACAAAACTTAAATGAATTTATGAATAGAAATGCACTATCCCTTATCATTTAATTAATCGTAATGCTTAATAATGATTATTATAAAAAAAATTGTGCCTAACATTATTATACTAAACTTTCAAAGGATGGCTTCATCTAATAAAATTTAAGATCGTTAATACGTATATAATAAACATATGTACACGATTATTTTGCTAAAAAAACTTGTAAAAATATAGCTTTATTTATAAAGTCAAACGCTTAATAAATAAAAGTGAATATTAGAAACCTATTGTTACGATTGACTAAAATCCAGATACAATTCTATTGGTTAATTGTCACATGTTAAATTAAGTGACCAATTATATGAAGAGATTTAATATCATGTGATTAACCGATGATGAGGAGTATGACCAATCCTATGTCCATGCTTTTGATTGGACAATTCGGACAATGGACACCGGATAGATTCTATTGTCCGAATTCCATTCTTGATATCAGAAATCTTTAAAAAATAGAAAAACATTCCCACATGTGATATGCTGATTTAAGAATTTCCAAAATAACATAAAGAAATGATAAAATAGATAATAATAATATAAATATATAAATAAAAAAATAAATAATGATGTCTAAAGGTTTGCTGAAGATTAAGCATGCATGTCAGATGCTTATCTTTCATTAGTCAATTGGCTAAATACCAATTTGACTAAGTTTAAAAATCTTTGCCAGTGGTTGGTGATTCAAAACTGTAAGAAGCGTCTTGCATAAGCAAATTATCTTGTTTGCGATAATAATAAGCAGGATTATCTCCATATATAATTTGTTGACAAAACATTTGATGAGGGTTATACCAAATACGATCACCGCAGAAACTTGTGTGAGTATTATGGATTTTGAGTAAATTCGGCTGAGTATAATGGTGGTTACTGATATTGATCAAGTTTGGTTGAATAAAGTGATAGGAACAATTAGCATTAATCAAATTTGGTTGAATATGATGGCAATCGTTGACATTAAGCAAGTTTTGAGGAGCCATATGAGTCAAATTTTGCTGAATGTGGTTATCGTTATGAATATTAGCCGAGTTTGGATGAGTGTTGTTATCAATCAAGTTTTTTCTGTTCACTTCTGGTTGATGTTTGTGAATCTTTTTTTTGGGACCGCGCTTAGCCCCTTTAACAAAATTGCATGGTTTATTTTGTTCTTTACAGAAATTACAAGGATTGCCAATGCATTTTTTATGTTTACTTCGGCAACTAGTACACGCAATGTTAGTATATTTTCGTTGTTTGTATCTTATAGGTCTTTCCCGCATGATGAATTTGAAAGTTAATTGAGATAAACAACGTTAATTGAGATTATTGCTATGTATATATTATTATATATAGTGCTACAAATCGTCAAAAATTTTGCAATCGATTAGTTGTCAACTTTTCGATTATTCGATTTTTATTCGATTTTTGTTCGATTTTATTCGATTTTAATGAGTTGCCAAAAATTTTTCAATCGATTAGTTGACAACTTTTCGATTAGTTGCGATTTTCGATTTGTAGCGCTAATTATATAGACTTTTTTATTAGATATATCTGAGATAATCCGGATCTCACCGTAAATCTTAAGTTTTTAACACGCTCACGCCATGCGACTCTTAACAATTAATGGTTTACGACGATTAAATCCAACAGGAAAATTTTTGATTAGTACATTAATATTTACAAACATTACAAATTTGTGTCTTTCAACCTATACGTATTTAGTTTTAGGGTACCATTTGAAAATAAAGACAACAACAAAAATAGATAACAAGAATTATGGAAAATCGGAGAATCTGATTATTTTATAATCCGACAAATACGCATCCCATTGAGTTTGCCATTTTTAAATATTCATGATGTACGCCGTACGTATTGTACCTACGTATGACGTGATATACTGTACCACGTATGACGTGATATACAGTACAGCATAACATGCATGCTTGCAACAAAAATTTTCATCAAAAAAAGAAAAAATATTAATTACAGCCTGCCCTACCCTACCTAATACAAAAAAAGAATTATGCTAACACTCACTCTGCCCGGAGAATTTTGTAACAATCTGCAATGAAGTTATTGTTTACATACTTACGTGTCAAAAATACAATAACAGATAAAGTATATGTTTGCAGCTATTAATTTGTATTACCTATAGTACTACTTAAATGACCTATAATTATATATAATATAGTGGGAGAACCGTAGTGCACTGACTAAATTAGAGTCTTTATTAATTAAATACAGGATTTTTTTTTTTTTTGAATTTCTAGCTTGCTTATTATAAATGTGGAGTACGTGTGTTTGTTCGAAATTTTCCTTTTTGCAGCACAGAATGATATATTCAGTCTTTGAAGGTTTTTGTTGGTATTTTGTACTGTATTAGACCCGGGTCTTTTGGTCAATATGCTACGGTATTTATAATGGCATTATACGATTGCTAATTAATCAGTATGGTTAAATTAAACTTATATTAAATGTGATAAGTGAATTATACGTATAGAATTTCAATAAGTCCAATCTGAAACTTTTTTACTTCAGGTTTAATTTGATATTCATACTCATGAGAAACACAAAGTGACGATAGAACCTTAATGCTGATAGAATTCTCATGCGTACCTCCCCCAGATGCTCGTATTTTCACATGAGCGTGCAATTACGATTGTAAATAAGCTTAGCACGTATTTGTTAAATACGTACATACGTACGTACGTACGTACGTACAGTACGTGGCATTTATAAAGTTCATATTTTACTCGGTAACAGATGTGTACATACCATCCACGTACGTACGCACGTAGTATGTATGATTCCGACAGCTCACTTAGCCGACAACACAATTTACTAAAAATATATTCCTGTAACTAATAAAATGCTAACCCTAACCCTATATGATGTCGGCTAAGTAAACTTTCGGTGAAATGTGTAGCACCGGATTCTTGGCAGGTGAAACCCTGATGTCAATATGCATATTTGTGTAATCAAGTTGTTTACCTTTTTGTACGTAATGTTGTAAAAAAAAGATTTATATTCAGTTTTGGTTAACCTGCGATCGTTTGATGTCCGATTTAACAAGTATTTGATTGACAAATTTTTTGTTGATTGTGCCGAGCACTAATCGAATTCATTGAAAGAGATGCTTGAGAGCATCAAAATAATTTACATGAAAATGGAAAAGTACATTCGTCCCAACAGTTAAGGTTGGTCCGATTCACAATTAAGGTTGCCTGATTTGGAGTTAGCACTGGTAGGAATTAAGTGTCGGGAAATTCTTGTCTGGAGAACTGTACAACCCAATGTTTATTCTATACGATATCTCTAAAAAATTGGGTATGAAATCATCAAATATCTAATCTTTTGCATCTTTAATTACCGTATAGTTCCGAAAATAAGCACCCTTTTTTTGTTATAGCAGGAGCTTATTTTCAGATATAAATTTAAAAATTAATAATACGGGAGTTTAGTGCTAAGTAAACCTGCTTCCGGCTAAGCCATTTTCCTGGCCAGGACGATTCTAACGGTGACAGGATCATCAAAATTGGTCCAGTAGAACTTTCAAAACTACTCTTCAAAGTTCATGCGATATTCGTTTACATTTGTTTATATGATCTGCAGATAAGCCAATGTAAACGAATATCGCCGAACTTTGAAGAGCAATTTCGAAAGTTCTACTGGACCAATTTTGATGATCCTGTCACCATTAGAATCGACCTGGCCAGGGAATAGCTTTACTTAGAGCCGGAAGCAGGTTTACTTAATACAAAAATCCTATACGATTATACTTAGGAGGTGCTTATTTTTGGACATTATATAAAATTTAGTGGTGCTTAATTCCGGAACTATACAGTATTTTTACTTTCTTCATTATAGTTTATTCCATTTGTATTAGCTATAACAGGCGTTCACATGTTAACTGCATTTTTGCAGCTTCTCGCGCGCTATTAATTTTGAGTCTTAATATTTAGTTGTAAAATAACTTAGACAAATCAATGTCTTTATTACCTATGTCTAATAAGTGAATTCCTCTTTATTTCAAGAAATTTATTAGATCATTAAAACTTGTTTCAAAATAGGATATTCTTCTTAGGTCGACAATTTATAATAAAAACTTTTAAAAACATATGTCACGTGATATGGTGCACTTTAATCGACCCGTGATTATAATAGTGTTGAGATTAAATTAGGTCTTAATGGCACTATCGATTATTATTCAAACGTCTATTCATTATATTATTAATATGTTCAGGTAATTGACAAAACCATGCTAACTTTAAATACTCAGTAGTTACCTAAATCTCAGTTTTGATACTTGTGTACATTATTAATTATATATTATGTAATATAAATGTTGTTTCTTATATGCTACATATTTTTTATTGTATATTTCCCGAATAAATGAACAATGGAATTTAAACTTACCTACAACGGCAGCTATCCTGTTTGAAAAGTGTCACACCATATACGTTTTTGAAAATGACTTCCAACGATAATCATTTGTGCAAACCAATTTAACTAATTAATAAAAGAATGATTAATTTCATCAAAAAAAAAAAAAAAAATCATGTTATTAATGT